ACATTTGTACATTTGTTGCCATCATCATTTTCAAAACATTTTCTTTCTACTTGAGCCCTTGGTATCAGCTCCTCATTTTCCCCTCCCTCCCTCCCAAACTCTTGATAATTTATAAATTATTATTTTTTTATTTCTTACACTGATCGATGTCTCCCTTCACCCACTTTTCTGTTGTCTGTTCCCCTGGGAGGGGGTTATATGTAGATCATTGTGATCAGTTTCCCCTTTCTTCCCCTCCCCCCTTACCCTTGCCCTCCTGGTATTCCTAGTCTCATTATTGGTCCTGAGGGGTTTATCTGTCCTGGATTCTCTGTGTTACCAACTCTTATCTGTACCAGTGTACATGCTCTGGTCTAGCCGGATTTGTAAGATAGAATTGGGCTTATGGGGGGTGGGGGGGCAGGGAGGAAGTATTAAAACACTAGAGTAAAGTTGTCTGTTACACCCTGACTGGCTCATCTCCTCCACACGACCCTTCTGTAAGGGATGTCCATTTGCCTAAAGATGGGCTTTGGGTCTCCATTCTGCACTCCCCCTGATTCACAATGATATGATTTTTTTTGTTCTTTGATATCTGATACCCGATCCTATCTACACCTCATGATCAATCACACAGGCTTGTGTGCTTCTTCCATGTGGGCTTTGTTGTGTCTCAGCTAGATGGCCGATTGTTTATCTTCAAGTCTTTAAGACCCCAGATACTATATCTTTGATAGCCGGCACCATTAGCTTTCTTCACCACATTTGCTTATGGACCCAACAGCGATCGTGTTGGGAAGGTGAGCATCATGGAATGCCAGTTAATAGAACAACGTGTTCTTGCATTGAGGGAGTCCTTGAGTCAAGCGAGGCCCAGTGTCCATCTGCGACCTTAATACTAAACCTATACTTATATGCACATAGATCTATTTCCCCATCCTCATATATAAATATATTTACATATGTACATGCCTTTATTTATATCTCTATAAATGTCCTTTGCCTCCTAGCTCTTTCCATTTCCTTTTACTTTCCTCTTGTCCCACTATCATGCTCAGCCTTCATTTGGGTTTCACTGATTCCTCTCGGTTACATTGCCCTTGATCAAGCTCTACCAGGCCTCCTACACCCTGCTCACCATCAATTTTGGATCACTTGTTTTTCCCTTGTCCCTGGGTTTATTAACACCCACTTCCTTTCCCTCATCTCCCCCTCTCCCATGTCCCCCCGGAACCATTGGTCCCATTGTTTTTTCTTCCAGATTGTTTATCCCACCTATCTTATCTAGTTATACCTGCATAGATAATAATATGCACAAAAACAAGAAAAAGCAAAACAAAGCAACAGAAGAAAACAAAACAGCAACAACCAAAAAACCAATGACCAAAGAAAAAAAAGCCTATAAATAGTTCAAGGTCTGTTTGGTAAAACCACCTTCTTCATCATTTCTCACCCTCTAGGCGCTGATTGCACTTGGAGAGCCATTCTTTTGATACTTGAAGTCCAATGATAGCTTGAGGCTTTAGGCTGTGTAAATAGGCCAAACAGTGGTCTTGTATACAATTTAGTTCTACTGAAGCTGGGGTTAAAATTTGGTTCTGAACTTCTGGTCAAATGGCGGCTTAGACACACCACACTCTCCCGCTACAGAAACAGATACGGAAGACAATCCTGGAACCCCAAGCATCAAGGGAAAGGAGAAAGAACTAGCACAAGCACTGATTGGGAAAAGGAATGGACTGAAAACAGCAAATGAGAGGAGACAGCATTGGGTAGCCTTGTCAGCCAAGCCAGCACAGCCTGGCCATCGTGAGACAATGAGAGCACAGAAAGCAAATTAACAGGATTCTCAACAGGAAAAATACTGCCAGCCTGTTTTCTTACCCAGCAAAAATATCCTTCAAACATAGTGGCAGGATTAGGACATTTTCCAACTACCTGGACAGTC